TTTTTTTCCTGTTTTCCTAATTGCACAGTGGCCTGTGTGCTCTGAGAGAATAAAATGTATTATACAGATGCTGCTGCTTAGGACACCATGTTTTTTCCTCTAAAAAAAGCATTAAAGGGGTCATAAAATGCAAAATTGTGTTTACATTGTCATAGATGAATAACGATAGTTCAGTGGGTGAAATTGACGTACAGAGAAGTTCAAACCCCATCGACACCTTTCTCTGGAAATCTAACAATTCTAAACTTTATCCATAAAACGGGGGAATCCAAACGAAGCACCGTCAAATCAACGTCAATTTTAAGATGTTGCCTTATTTGATTCTGGCCTGTACTTTTGTCACACCCTGAAATTGGCATACATTCACATACAGACTATGAAGACATTTTTACAGTCATCCCAAGGATCTGAAGACTCAACAGGCATGGATTATTTTTTTCAGAAGATCCCTGCAAAGTTTGATGCTTAAGTGTTCATGTGCTCCAAGCATTTTACTGAAGACAGCTTTCAAAATATTGGACGGTTCAAAGCAGGATTTGCTAAACTTCTTTTACTGAAACGAGGGGCTTTTCCGAGCGTAAGTCCATCACAACCGTAAGCTGTAAGTAATATTTTGTTGCTAAGCTGTTGATAGCAATGCTAGCATATCTATGGTGACCAGATTTGGTTCACTGACTGGACCGGACCGTGCATTCGAACCGAGCCAGCCGGGGACGGAACGACTGAACCCGACCCGGTATGCTTCCCCCCATCTGCCTTACCGTGCAGGCAGGGGGGGCCTGGGGAGTGCCTGGTGTGTTTCGCCTACATGCAGGACTGTAGTCGACCAAAATCCAGGACGATTTTGAAATTCAACCCAGTCATTTTTTTTTAGGTATGAAAAGTAGGACATGTCCAGGCAAAAGATGACATCTGGTCACCCTACCATAGCAACAATTGGATGTTTCAATAAGTGAGTGCTTGTTGCTATGATGCGTCTTTGTTGAATGATGAATCAGCACACAGCTCATCTAAATATTCATGAGCATACCGTAAAAGGAAGAAAACCTGTCGTTTCATTCTGGGGCTTATAACAAGGCTTGAATTAGTCATTTTCAGCCCAACCAATGTTACACACCCTATTCAGAGACCTCAAGGACAAACAGCAAATACCCTATATAATCATTCTATGGTCCCTTTAAGAAAATAATGATGCAATGCAATAGTAAAACTGCTCTGGGTGTCTTTTAGAAGTATGTTGTTGTTGAAAACCAAACTCTAGATGTATACATTTTGTATATATCATAACAATGTTTGATGAAGACTCTGAAATATTTTGTATTTTTGTTAAGTAAAAAGACTAAACCTGTATGCTTCCATTTTCCCACATCTCTAGACTGTTTGTGATTGGATGAACAGGGGTGTGTAAGCAGAGAATGGTAGATTTAACATTTGTATAGTTGATCTGTCAGCTGTTCTATTACAGCTAAAACAACACAAACCATTCAGCTGTAAAACCACATGTTTACAGTTTGATAATCGAATGATCATGTGACTTCAGCTGATGCTTTTCCAAAGTCAAGAAGAAAGATAACTCCTGAATTGATTAGGTCTGCTTCCCAAAGATCAGATTGAAGGAAGAAGAGTGACTTTTTAGAGTATTTCATAATACCAATTAAAACTTTTTCTCCCCTCCTTTCAGTATCGAGCCTGGTGGATGGAACAGTACGGGAAGAACTCCTTTAATGATGAAGAGGAAGTTCAGAATCTTTTAAATAAAAAATCTAACAGCAGTCTGAGCAGCAGCAGCAGCAGCTCTGCTTCTGCCAACATCCCCCAAGCTCTGGGAACAGGTCACACCTGAAGAGAGACTCTCTGCCCTCATCTCCCTGGTCCTGAGGACTGATCTAAGGACTGCTGGCATTGCATCAGCAGGAACATTTATCCAGGATTTCTCGCGTGAGGACGAATGGTTGAATCTGGTGTGTGTACAATAGCCGGGGGATTTCATACCCCTGTTGTCATGTCATGTCTTGGCCTCCAACTGTCAAAACAACATGCAAGGGCAGCCAAGCGTGTCCCTAAAGAAGTATGTACATGAAGTCCTGAGTGTGAGCACACATTTAGCAGCATACACTCCCCCCATCAGTTATGTTATGCTGTGTCTTGGACTTAAATTATGAGTATTAGTTTCTATGCAGAGTAGAAACTAAGAAACTTTGTATTTCCCAGCACAAATATCACAGTTTTTTTTTCTTACCTAAAATACTATCAATATTCTTTGAACTGATCTGAATGGTCAAAAGTTCAGCAACTGCAGGCTCCACCTAAAAAAAACAAAAAAATGAATTGTTTGTTGTGTAGATAAAGTGCGATTGATGTTAACTTTCATCCAGGAGGTGAAAATAGTTCAGAACTTTTAAGATAAAAACTGCTGAGAGAGCTATGATTTCATTTCGATCAGCTTTGTTCATATTTGACATTTTAGAAGTTACCTGCTTTTGAAACATCAGAATTTAAGATGCATTAAACTTTTTTTTTTTTTTTATTATTACCAGTACCTTGTACTATGTACTCATAGGCTAATTCTTAGACAAAACTAACCCCTACATTTCAGGGTTATTTTACTGGGACGTTATATTATATACATGATTGTGAAGCAGAAGGGAAAATAATGGAATTTTATTATCTTTTTCTAAAAGCAGCACATTTTGTTGTGGGTAGATGCTCAGGTCTTCTGATATATTCTCACCCAGCTTTGTACATCAGGAGATTATTTTCAATTCTTCTCCACAAATGGACAGGTAGTATCTGGAGATGGGCTCTGAACATCAAATTTTCAGATTCTAAATCAGATTTTTTTTTCCTCTATACTTTGACTGGTGTTAGGATAATTATTATTGAAGATGTGTGAGTTTATCACACCTTGGTATGGGCTATTCTAACACTTTATAGCTTTCCATTGAAGCTCTCATTGCCAGTTTGGAGCAGGCATGTGCAGTTGGCCTTCAAAGGCCACTATCCTGCAGGTTTTCCATGTTTTTCTCTTTCAGCATACCTGATCAAGATTATTTTAGTTTAGTAAAAGCCTGTTAATCAGCAATTAATGAAAAAAAAAATGCTTTGCTGAAGTTAGAAAACATCTAAAACCTGCAGGGCCTAATAGGACCCCTACAGAAACCCTAAATTCCAATTAACTCCGACCTTTTTATCCATCCCTGCTGAGGAAAGGATTCCCATATCATTATTTTCCGGCCTTGTATCATCATAAGGATGATCTTTTCAGGGGAATATATAGTGTTAATTTTTCTTCATATAACATTTCACATGTAGATTTTGAGTTTAATTTTTGTTCTCATCCAATCATATTGTTTAATCCGAACCATGACTAATAGTTTTCATCTTAAACAATTCTCCTACTTGAGTTTTTGATATCTCCAGCCGGGCCACCTGGCTGCTTTTCTGATTAATGGTCTTCTTACCCATCCTGTTGTTCCTTCCATACTGTTTCTATTTCCAAATGATGAATCAAACTGTATCAGGAGATGTTCACTGCTTAGGATATTGTTTTTTAATCTAACCCTGCATTAAAATTTCTTCTCAACATTCTCCCCCAACTTTAGTGTCTGCCTTTTTGTAAAGTGAATTCAAAATATTAGTAGAAGTAGCCGAATAAGTTGGATTTTTGTAGACAAATAATAAGTATTCAGATTTTTCTGCAATAGTTTATACATAATGTAATGTTGTATATTAAAATATGAAAACATTTTATTTTTAAAGGTGTTCTGTTTTTATTAAACAACATTAAAGCATAGACAAGGTAAAAAAAAAAAAGGCTATTCCTTTTTTTTGTTTTTTGCTGAAATCAAGCTCATTAATGGTAGCCATAGCCTCTGCATGAGCTTTTAAAATGTTTGTAACAATAATTACAAAGAAAATAAGATTATATAAATATTAATATGATTTATAAAGCAGTTTGTAGGAAAAAAAGGTAGAAACTATGTAAGTGAAGTAAAATTTGCTGAAAAATGCAAATAAGAATGAAGAAAAAAGTAAACAGGAAAATAAATGTAGAAAAAAAATCTAAATGTTATTAAAGAATACAACAAAAACATATTTAGTTCATATAATAATAAAATAATAATTTATTTACTTCAAAATTTTATGGACACTTTCTCTATTTTCAGTACAGGTAAACCAAATACTGTTGGCCTATATTAGTTCTCTCATGTTATTGATGACCTTTTTTCAAAAACTTAAATATGTCATAAGATTATATTAATATGATTTATAAAGCAGTTTGTAGTAAAAAAGGAGAAACTATGTAAGTGAAGTAAAATTTGCTTACGAAAAAATGAAAATCAGAATTAAGAAACAAGTAAACAGGAAAATAAATGTAGAAAACCCCCCAAAAAATGTTATTAAAGAATACAATAAAAACATATTTAGTTCATATAATAATAAAATAATAAACTATTTACTTCAGAATTTTATGGACACTTTCTCTATTTTCAGTACAGTTAAAGCAAATACTGTTGGCCTATATTGGTTTTCTCATGTTATTGATGACCTTATTTAAAACCTTAAATATGTCACAGAGCTTTTATTTTCCCACAGGTATATTTCAAACCATAAACCAGGTATTTTATCGGTTGATTCTTCCAGCGGGAAATGATTTTTCTGCGCATCATTTCTCCCGTAGGATCACTCCGCAGCTCAATTTTTTTGTAAATCTTTATCATTTCAAAGAACTGTTTTGGTCTCCAGTCCTCTGACTTTCCACCGTGCGGCTGTGTGACTCTGCAGGCTGACGCCGGCAGGGTTTCCCCTGCTGTCTGTCTTACTGGAGGTGCGCCGCCGCGCGCGGCGCTGATAAGCTTCGCAGGAGGCGCAACTCCGGCAGGTGCGTCCTCCTCCTTCTCCTCAGCATCCTCCTCCTGTCTCCGCCCCTCCTTCTTCTCATCGTTCTGCGGGGATTTAAGCGGGCCCGCCGGAATGGTGAGGGCTTTCAGACACTGGCAGATTTCAAAACTTCACGGGTTTCGAGTTTCGCAGGTAAGAAGAGCCTCGAATCGGATCCAAGAGCTGAACTAGTCCGCGTGGGAGTCCACGTTTATAGCGATCTTTTTTTTTCTTTTTTCACTTTTACAACTTTTGATTGCGTGCTTTCACAGCCTACACATTCTATCACATTAAGTAGAGGATCTATAAGCGGAGTTTTGTTTTTGTTATTTGCGCAGAGATGAACTCTGAAGTGGATTACGGAGGCTCCGGCAGCAGCGGCAACGGGAAGCTGCGCCAGTGGCTGATCGAGCAGGTGGACTGCGGGAAGTATCCCGGCCTGGTGTGGGAGAACGATGAAAAGAGCATCTTTAGGATACCATGGAAACACGCCGGGAAACAGGATTATAACCGGGATGAGGATGCCGCGCTTTTCAAGGTACTGAACATTTAGGCCGCAGACCTGCTGTTTAATAAAATGCTTATAAATAGGCCTAAAGAATACATTCTAGTTTAATTTGCGGTGTAATTATAAATGCAGGGTGATTTTCTGCTGATCTGCAGAGTTTATGTAAATGTGTTCATCCAGAGAGCATGCATTCAGTAAACAGGAAAAAAAAGTTAAACTAATTTCAACTTATGAGAAAAAAAAGCTAAATGGATCAAATCTATAATCAGCTTTTTTGTTCTCAATTTGGCACATTTTATAGTTGTCTTTTACATTTAATTTATTTCCAACCTGATTTTAAAAGGCTGCAGTTCGTTAAAAATAAAATTAAATCTGAATTAAATCAAATTCCAGCCTGCATTCTTTCCCTTAAACCAAGTAGAAACTCAAACTGACTAAGTAAGTCTTTTATGGTCATTATTTAATCTTCTCCCTGCTTCTTGTCTGCAGGCATGGGCGCTTTTTAAGGGCAAGTTTCGGGAGGGGATCGACAAGCCAGACCCTCCGACCTGGAAGACGCGCCTGCGCTGCGCTCTCAACAAGAGCAACGACTTTGAGGAGCTGGTGGAGAGAAGCCAGCTGGACATCTCTGACCCATACAAAGTGTACCGCATCATCCCTGAGGGCGCCAAGAAAAGTCAGTGATCCTAACGCCGTGATGCATGAGTTTGATCTGGAAACGTGCTCCATGTTAAACCCTTTCCTCTTTGCGCACAGGACCCAGGCAAGAGGACAGTCCTCTGAGCCCAGTGAGCTATCCCATGCATCATCCCTACCCCACTGTACCAGCTCAGGTAATTAACATGCACATGGAAATGAGCAGGGCGGGGACTTGGAGGGACAGCAGACATGCTGCTGAATGAACCATAGGCTATTGTGCATGCATGAATGAACAGATAAATAACAGCTTTATGATGTGTTGAATGATGCTGAACAAGCATTTGAAAACAATGTGCTGCAGCAGGGAAGACAGACCTTAAAAAAAGTACCAAAAATAGAACTAAACTTTAAAAAAATATCATTGTGTATTGTATGATTATTAAAAAAATAAGCTGGATAAATGTGTTTGTCTACAGATACCACAGTTCATGCCAAGCCCTGAATGCAGCTGGAGAGATTACTGCCCTGAGCAGCCGTCCCTGCCTGAGCTGTCCTTCAACCAGTGCCCCTGTCCCCCACGCAGCCTGCAGTGGCAGACCTCATCCATGGAGAACGGTAAGTCACTCTGCTCTGTAACAGCTGCATGGGCCCAGTCTGTTCTACATCCACTTTTTGGCATGTTAAGCTCGACTCTGTTCCTCTTTCTGTGCAGGATACCAGCTCAGAGCTTCCATTTACTCCTACAGTCCCGCAGACAGTCAGCCGTCTCCCTTCCCGCTGGACGCAAGCATCAGATCAGCAGAGGCGCTCTCAGGTGCATGAAATACACTTTCACTTCACCTTTTCACCTCTCACGCCAGGCGTGGGCCAGAGGCCAGATCTGATTCCAACAATCGCCTATGACTACACTGCAGTAAAAATGCATTCACTGCATCCGTTAAATTCAATTAAAATCTTCAATTATTAGTTGGTTGTTTTTTTTTTCTAAATAGGTAATGCATAAAACTTATCTTAACACAAATCTGTTCAAGATCATTGTATAAAACATTTTCTGATGCAAGTATGGAAATGGGGTGTCTAAGATCTAAAGTATGACACCAATCTTGCAACACAGATCCTGTTTCCTAAAAAGCAGAATGTGTTTCTTTGAGGTTGCCTTTAACCTGGATACATTTTTCGAAAATGTTTTCAACAATCTGATTTTGTCGATGACAAACGCATCAAAATGTTTGTTTACCTTCTATTTTCTCTTTGTGAACAGATTTCCGCCTCCATGTGTTGGTCTATGTACGAGACACGCTGGTGAGGGAGGTGACCACCTCCAGTCCAGAGGGGTGCCACATCACCCCGGGTGCCCCAGAGAAGCCTTACCTGTCGCCGGGTGGACCTGACGTTGTGCCTCTACCTGTGGACGCCCTCTCTGCCCAGAGGAGAGCGGACGAGTGTCCCCCCAGCCCACCGTCCGGCCTGGAAAGGGGGGTCTTGCTGTGGATGGGTGCAGATGGACTCTACGCGCGCAGGTTTTGTCAGAGTAGGGTTTACTGGCAGGGAGGCCCTTCGCCGTACGGAGACAAGCCCAACAAACTGGACAAAGATGTCACCTGCAAACTTCTACACACACAGGACTACCTTACAGGTAACAATTCAAAATAAAAGTAAAAATCTTTTATAGATAGATTTTCTCCCCTAAAGATTAAAAGCGTCAAAGACACTTGTTTTCAAATATATATTTTGAAGCAAAATTGTGTTAAAAAAAACTGAACTTTTAAAGTTTTCCCTACTCATTTCCTCTTTTAAGAGAACAAAAGAGGCTAACATAACTAAACTGATGTGGTTATAATCAGAAACCATTTAAAAACACCAAATCAAAGAACAGTTTTGATTGTGACATTTCAATAAGTACTAAAGTTCCAGCTCATTTACTGGAAAAGGCCCATTTACAGTGTCTTAGAAAAGCTGTGGTGACCTTCTTAAAGAAGCATTTCATGATAAGCTGTCAGTCACATGACTCTCTGCAGCACCACATCATCCCCACCCACATGCACTGTGACATCCCCAGCTGTGACTGACAGCTAATTGTATTTGCATACTTAGTGTGACCAGGACTTTCCATTCGATTCACCCCAAAATGTCATGCCACTTCAAGAGAAATTCTGTTGAAATCATTTGCCTGCTTAGATCTACTTTAGATACCAAAGCTAATAATGAGGTGAATTCGTCTTGTTTCCCACCAACCAGAGATCCAGAGTTTCGGGCTCCATGGACGGCCGCCCAGTCGCTTTCAGGTCCTGCTGAGTTTTGGCGACGAGTGTTTGGATCCTCAGAGACAAAGGCGTACCCTCACAGTCCAGGTGATTGCTTAGCCCCATTTTTAGTGAACCTAACCATGCATTTGACTTACTGGTCAAAATCAAAGCTTTAATTTGAAAGGTTTCAAAAAATAACGCTGGACATTTAACTTTAGCTTCAAAACTGAAAAATAGGATTTGAAAGTCTGCAGGAACTTCTTCATTGTCAAGATGCAAGCTTTGGTTTCAAACTAAATTTAGATTCGGAATAGTTACTGAGAATCATCATCAGCCTTTTTCCAGCCTTTTTACCTTTCACATCTTGAATTTCTGAAACAATATAAAGTGAAAGCTGATGAATTAATTCAGGACATAATGATCAGAAACTACACACCCAAACAATCTCAAATACTCTCAGAGGCTTTGATTTAAAGAGGCTAAGGTGGTAAAATGTATTATAAATCAACACAAACACATAGTTTCTCTATGTATTTTGGATCATTTTCACACATTGTTTAGAAATAATGGCAAAAACTAATAAGAATACAGAAGTTGTTGGCCAGCATGTTGCAATTACATTAACCTTTAGCCTTCTATGATTGATGTTAGACAAATACCAAATTGACCCATTTTGATTTCATGACTGCTTGTTAAACATCCCTGTTTCATTTTATATACAATTTGTGCATAAAAGAGTTGAAAGTAAGGGGAGGGTAGAAAAAACTGAATGTAGTCCAAAATGTTTTATAGCCTTAGAAGCAATAGTCTGATAAATGCACCAAGTCATCTAAAGCTTTTATCCTGTCAAAGCTCTGAGTTTCAAACATTAATCTTTAGCTTCACTGATTAAAACTCAAAATCACTGCAGAAAGAGCAAAATGTTGATATTGACCTTTTCTTTCCACCCTGTGCATTTCAGGTGGAACCGTTATTCGCCAGGCAGCTCCTGTACTACGCCCAGCAGACGGGCGGCCATTACTACCGCGGCTACGAGCATCCTGCAGTAACAGAGCATCTAAACGCCACTGAGGACTATCCAAGAGCTATCACGCATCATCACAGTAGCAGCCTCCAAGAGTGAACCATGAGTGCCTTGAGTGACTGTTAAAAAATCCTTTAGGGAGGCACCAAAGGCTTTTAAAGAAAAGAAGAAAAAAAAGAGACATGGCCGCAAAACTCGGGGACCAATGGTCAAACATGGACGGCAATGTACATAAACTGATTATTTTTCAGCTGTCGACCCTGTTATCAATTCTGTGTATCTACATGTGACAGAATATGTCATAGCGTGATAAAATGATGGATAACTTTTATTTTAAACACACATTGTTTTCTTAGGGAACTGAAACTGACAGCGACAGTGATTGTACAAAAAGAATTCTGTGCTAAATGTGCAAAATGCACCTTTAATTTCCCTTTAAGGAGATTAAAATATAAACTCCATCCTCGTATCATAAGATGTTAGTAGGACATGGTTAGCTTAGCCTTTGATAGCATAGCCTTAAAGCCAAACCAAAGTTGCTAGCGTGACTCCATGCTATTCTTGCAAAATCCACCAAAGACAAAACGTTTATACTTGTCAGAACCAAAATTTTAAAAGGAAATGTTTGTACGTAATTAACATCATTAAACATGCATTCTGTCTACACATCTCAATATGAGCTAGGATAACAAGCTGTACAATTTTTTTTATTTAAAAACCTCTTGTAAATAGGATTTTTTTTGTAGAAATATATATATTTTTGCTAGTGGACACTATTACTATTGTTTATATGAGAAACTCAGGGAGCTGAATGTAGATAAGCTTTTTAACTTGTATTTTCATTTATAAATTGAAAACTATAAAGTTTTACATTTGAATGAACCTTGGGTTAATCTGAATATCATTAACCCCAGTTTGTAAAAAAAACAAAAACAATAATAAAACAACAATAAACTGTGATAAACAGGCTCTTTTTCATAATTGTGAGCTCTCTGGATATAGTCAGTACTATCTGTGCGTGGTTTGAGCAGGAAGTGTGGTTCACATGCAGGATGACGCTGGTTAATCAAACGCCGGGTTATCGCAAACAGCGCGATGACATCAAGAAGGGCGTCAAGAGAGGAAGAGGTTGGCCACGCTTTCCGACTAGATCTGGGTAAAAAAGCCTTCCTGGCTTCTGCTTGCAGAAATGTTTCCACTTTTATGGAAAACAACCAAAAAAGACACCACAAAAACATTTCTGTAAGGCGAAATACAATTCAAAACATGAGCAGGGAAGAGGATGTCATCAAGTGATGAGGTTAGGTTTAAAAAACAAGCCTTATGGAATTACTTTGAAAACCACCTTTAAAGCAAGTGAAGGAAAACAGCTTTTTTTTCTCAGAAAAGTCTTAATCTAAGCATTTTGAACACATATTTGTGGACGTGAAAAACCTTCAAACAAACATAAACAATCCTACTAGTGTGATGCATTATTTTATCACACTGACCATGTGAACTACACTTATACTAGATGTTATCAAACATACATTTGTGTGATAATATGCATATTTATATAATGAAGTTAGGCTCAGAACTATTCCTGGTTTTTCAATATAATTTTCTTTGTATATCTTTGTATTTCAGATAAAAGGCTTTGTCATCACCATCTTTACCAGTTGCTATGATGAGTTGCTTGCAGAAAGGGCTCTCTGCCTCCTTTCACTGATTAATTGTGACATGGTAATCCCCTGGTCTAATCCCAAAAACAACTACAAGAAATTATGAGTCAACATAGAGGTGAGGACAACTCACCATATTCTGAGAAGATGTGGGGATATATGAAAAGACAAACTAATTCTTGAAAAAGCTCAACGCTTAGGATTATTTTTATCTGCAAGCTCCATTTTTATTTGGAAGTCTAAGTTTTCAGGCTCGGAGTAGGAAATTAGAACTTGAACGTATTTGGATTTAGCTTTTCTGAGTCCAAAAGTTCAGGTAACAAAACCATAAACAGCGTCTGTATTTAATATGCAATCTTCATATGCAAACCTTTATGCAGCACTTTTAGGTGTTTGTAAGATTAGACGTTTAAAATTTGTTAAAAAAAGCAAAACAGAATTAAACATTTTTTTCATTATTATAGTTGTGAGAGTAGTTGTAGCGACTATAAAACAAACAATCACCAATATGAGCCTCTAAAAGTGGGAAACTGATACACCAACGTCTTGGAGATTACATTACTAACTTGCCAGTTCCAAGGTAAATCTAACACAACATAAGCAGCAAAAGGTATATAAAAAAAAAAATAGTAACTCAATAAGCATATTCATCATATAAAGTTAGAATTTTTTTTCTCACATATATAAATCGTTTCTCATTTACTTATGTATTTCTTTAAAAAATGTTGCTTATTTAATAATTTATAAATTATTATTAGGGCATTTAGCCTGCATGCAGAATTTTGCATTTAAAAAGTTTTGCTAGAACTATGCTCTGATTGGCTGCTTGATGAGGAAGGCGATAAGTTGGCAGCAATTTTCACGTGATTCTCCAAACTCTCTCTGGCGACTTTAGTTTAGATAAAAAAACAAGTATTATTCCTTTAAAGGTGTAGTGAAAACACCCGCCCTCTCCATGTTTTAAAAAAGAAAAGCACAACCCTGAACCCGCTCCAGAGAGGGAATGCCTATTAAATGCATCGAGAGCATGCACAAGCCCATTTCTCCTCGAGGAGGTGCAGGAATGCAATAAGACGGTAGCTCAGATGGATCTCATCTCAACTATATTCATATATAAATGTTTCCCCCTAAATAAGACTACTGGTACATTAAAAAAATCATGACATTCTTGTACTTACAAAATAAATTAAGTTATCTTCCTTGGAAAGTTACAATATAGAGATAGTTAACTTTTACTAGCAGTGATGTGAAATGGATTTCTCCAAATAGCATGCCAAACTTTACCTGTCGAGTGCAAACTTTGCAACCGAGCCATTAGTGAAAAGCCCGACCTGTGCTTTCAGTGCATGCCATTGAGTGAAAGAATCTCCTAAAAACACTCTGGTTTTGTTTCTCTCTTCTGTGCCCATTCTTTTCTTCTCATTCTCTTCGTAGACAATTTTGCTCTTGTGACCCTCGGCCATTTGCAAAGAACCGTGTGAGAAAGGCGAGCTTCAAGGATTGGCTGAAACCGTAGCTCAGCACATAAAGGTGCACGCAGGACGGCCTTATGTAAACATATTACCCGAATGACTGACAATTAGGAGGACCACTTATTTTGATGATCTACCTGGACAAAGAACATCCTTCCCACTATACCTTTAACTTATGAAAATGTTGACTGGACTAAATTGCAAAATGTCTTCCTAATTTTCTAAATTGGAGGTCTTCAACAGGGGATCTGCGACCCCTAGGGGGTACACAGAGGTACTGCATAGGGGTCGCAAAAGTTTAGGTTGATTTGACTTTTTTTATATTCCACCAC